CATATAAATCCTTTTCATTCCATCTTTTTGGAATATAGACCTAGAAGTGACATTGCTGGATCAAAGGGTATGTACAGTTTTTTAGCACTTTAGGTATAGTTTCAAATTATTCTCCAGAATGGTTGGATCAGTTCACAATTCCAGCACTGCATGAGTGTTCCAATTTTTCCATGCCACCTCCAACATTTGTCATTTTCCTTTTCTGTCATATTAGCCAATCTGATAGCAGTAAGGTGGTACCTCAGAGTTATTTTAATTTGCATTTCTCTAATCAATAGTGGTTTAGAGCATTTTTTCATATGACTATAGATAGCTTTGAGTTCTTTTTCTGAAAACTGCCTATTCATATCCTTCGACCATTTATCAATTGGGGAATGACTCATATTCTTATAAATTTGAGAAATGAGGCCCTTATCAGAGAAATTGGCTGCAAATTTTTTCCCAGTTTCCTGCTTTCCTTCTAATCTTGCCTGTATTAGTTTTGTTTGCGCTGTCACTCCTTAACCCCTTATGATTCAGCTTCTGACCTCATAATTCCACCTAAACTGATTTCTCCTATGTTACTAGTTCTTAAATAGTTACTATCTCTTAACTGCCAAATCCAATGCCTTTTTCTCAACCCTCAGTGGTAATTAATGATGATTCACAAATCTACCTATTCTGCCTTTAACCTTTCTGCTGACTTATAGTCTCACAACCACAAGTGCTGTATGGAAGACATCTCAAACTCTATGTCCAGTAGACATTATAAACTCAGCATGTTCAAAACTGAACTCATTATCTTTCCTCAAAACTCTTGTTCCTCCTAAATCCCCCATTACTGTTAAGGGTACCACCATCCTCTAGGTTGGTAATCTAAGTATCATTCTCAACTTCTTACTCTTATCCTTCATATCCAATCTGTTGCCAAGGTCTGTCAATTTTATCTTTGCAGTATCTCTTCAGTATGCACCCTTCTCTCCTCTGATATTGCCACCATTCTGGTGCAGGCCTTCATCAGCTCATGCTTGGACTACTGCTATGGTCTGCTGGTGGGTCTGTCTTCCTCAAGTCTCCTTCCTCCAATCCATCCTTCCACCATCCAGCCACCAAAGTGATTTCCTAAAGTGCAGATACAAGCATCACACCCTCCCCAAATAAAGTCCAGTGGCTTCCTGTCACCTCCAGGATCAAATATAAAACCCTTCCCCCACCCTACCCAATGGAAAGGTACAACTCTATGCTCTCATCGCAGGGTCCAATATCCTACAGTTACTCTCTGGATATTTTCCCAATCAACCAAAGTTGGAAGTTTGGCACTAAGAATTACTTGTTGATTATTGTATGCCCTATTGTTTGCATATCTAGACTTTAAGACTAGAAGATAATCAAGGGCAGGGAACCTGTGTGACTGGGCCTCTATAAGGCTAACCAAAGAATCCCACGTGGTTATCACATCCTTAGGAAAGACCCTGGCTGTCTTCTCAAATCTGTCCTCACTACCATAATATGCTTCCATTCATACTAATTCAAAAAGGTTATTCCAATATTCTCATTCTCATAGGATTTAGAGTTAGAAAGGACCTTGGCATATCATCTTGTTCAATTCCTTCTTTTTATGATGAAGAAAATGAGGCGCAGAGAGGGAAAATCCCTCATCCAAACTTATACAGGTAAGAAGTAACATAATCAAGAATTGAACCCATCTTATGACTCCAAATTCAGCATTCTTTTCCCCACGTTAAGCTAATTTTCTGTGCCCAATCATCCTTTTCCCCATGGCCAAACCTTGGTCCATGCCATGCTATAGTCATCCTTCTATCTTTCCTCCATTTCATCTGCCAGACTTCGTCCCTGTCCTCAATGATGTCATAATGAAAGGCTGCCTCCCTCAAGAGGCCTTTCTAGATTGGTCCAGGCCATTTGCCTCAAAACACCAGCGCTATCCCTTTTTTCCCCTCTACATCATTAGCCCTTTGCTGCCCCAGTGACTTATGGTAATTTTGTAATAATACAAGTAAATTGATTGGTCTCATCTTCCCTTGGCCTTAGTAGATGATGAGCTCCTCAAGGACGAGGGTCATGTTTGCCATGTAAATATAAATGTTTGTCGACTAATCAACTGGGTTGTTTTTTACATTTTATTGATGACTTTTGTCTTTACATCACAGCCTTTCCTTTACACCAAACCTTGAGTTGAACCCTCCCCTTGTGACAAAAATAATTAAGCAAAAAGATCTGATGAAGTTGTAGAATTTTCTCCATTACTCAAAGTTTTGACTTCCTTATAGTGATCCTTTTCATACTGTTAAGTCACCATGTAAATAGTTCTGGCTCTGCTTACTTCACTCTTCATCATCATGCATCAGTTCATGCAAATCTTTCCATATCTCTCTGAATTTCTCATGTTCATCATTTATTTCTAAACAATGGTATTCCATTATATTCATATACCAGAGGGTTTTTTTCCCAATCTTTTTTTGTTAAACAAAATACAGTTTTATTTAAAGGAGGAAAAACAAATAGAAATACTCTGTCAAGCAACTATTAGTACCAAAGATGTATATAAATCTTGTAAATCCCAAGAGTAATTTACAGTTTGGAGTAGGAGGGCTAGAATTGGGGGAAATTCTGACCTGTAAAGTGTCTCTAGGCAGAGTTAGGAATGGTGATATGGCCCTTCTTTTTGAATTCCTGCCAGTGCTCATGACTGTAGCATATAGTCCACTGGTTTCTTTAGTGAAACTTTCTATTAATAGTCAAATTGATGATTAATCAAGGGAATTGACTCCCCCCAGGGAGTTTCTGTGAATGATCCAACAGGCCTTCTACCCTAAACTTAGAAGTAATAGAGAACACTGGGGTATCCTCGGCACCTGGGACCTACCACCTCAAGACTACCTCTACTTGTGGTAGACAGAACCAGGAGACCAATTTATACAATAACAACAACATTGTAAATAAAAACAACTCAGTGAGACTCAAGTGCTCTGATCAAGGCAATGAACAATGACAACCAGAAGGGACCCATGATGAGGTACCCTTCCCACCTCCTGAGAGGTAAGGGACTCCACATGTAGAATATTTTAGTACCATAGCACTTTTCAGGACTTGGGTTCCCTGACTTTGCAGTTCTCATCTAAGGGGCTTGATCCTTCCTAAGACTAAGCAACTTGGGTTTCCTGCCATACTTAAGTTCTGCAAGAGAACAGGGTTCCCTTTTCTGACCTTTGGCCCATTCCTAGAATTTCCATCTGCACATCCAGGGTAAAGTGGTGATTTGGACTGTGATCTAGGAAGAACTGGCCTGTCTTTGGTGTTCATGGGACAGATGGGAACATAAGACATGAAGTTGAAGCGAGAGATGCAGGGACAGGAGCAGGAAGGGAATGTGTATAAGTGAACTCTGGGGGCTCCTACACAATCCTGTCTAAAATTGGTTCTTACTATTTGCCACACATTTAGTTCCTGGGGCTTCTACTGTAAATGAGGGGTGTCCAGAGGGGAAGGAGGAAAAAGAAAAGTAGAGACAGAGAGGAAAAGTCGGGCCCTCCAAGCGAAAGAGACTGGATCTGGTGGGAAGGATTCTTCCTCATTTCCTTCCCTATCTCACCAACCCCCCCTTTATTTTCTATCCTTTGCCCTCCTACTTTTCTCCTATCAATGAATCAGAAAGCCATTGCTGAGCAACTACTACGTGCATAGCACTGTGCTAGATACAGTGAAAGATACAAATCATAATAAATGACATATAAGTATGAGGTTAAAGTTTGCAGAGCTCTTTACATTATCCTATTTAAGCCTCATGATAATTCTGTGAGGTAAGGGCTCTTAGTATCTCTCATTTACAGGTAAGGAAGCTGAGGCACAGGAAGGTTAAGTAACTCCCCCATGATCATACAGCTAGTAGTGTGAGGGGCTGAATTCCACCCCAGATCTTGACTACAGGTCCAGAACTCTGTCTACTACCTAACAATGTGTCTTTCCAGAAGCTAGGTGACCAAGTGCACTGGGCCTGGAGTCAGGAAAATCTGAGTGAAAATACAACCTCTGACACTTACTAGCTTTGTGACCCTGGGCAAGTTACTTAACCCTGTTTACCCCAGTTCCTCCTCTGTAAAATCATTTGGAGAAGGAAATGGAAACCACTCCAGCATTTCTTTGTCAAGAAAACCCCAAACAGTATCATGAAGAGTACAACAAAATTGAACAACAAAAGACAAATTCTTTGCCTGAAGAGGTCACACTCTAGTTCAGTTCTATCCAATAAGCTTCATTGGGCACTAACTGTGTGTAGGTGACAGATAGGAAATTTTAACCGGACTTGTCTGTTCTTGCCCTCAAGCAGTTTACAGTTTAGTAGGTGGAAATGACATATACACAAATAACGAGGTGTTCTTAAGAGGTATGTACAAAGGGTGCCCTGTGCGATAGGAGGGTAGGGGAAGGAGACCTATACTTGTGAAAACTACTCAGAACAGAAGGTGGGGCCTGGTAAGGGTCACATGATGAGTGCTGTCAATAAATTATCTGGGAGCTCAAAGAAGGAAAAGTTCACTGGGAGCTGGGAGTGCTCTGGGAACTTAAGTGGGCCTTGAAGGATGGGTATTAGCTAGGCAGAGGAACTTTTATCCTTTCCTCTTCCAGCTTGTCCTTGAGTCCCCAGCCCCCTTTTTCTTCCTGCCCCCTGCTTCTCTCCCACTCCGTTCTGGGTCTTCAGTTAACAGCTGCTTCTGGGTGAAAATCTGAGATGTGGGCAAAAGAGAGAAGAGAGATGGGGGAAGGGAGGAAGGGAAAGATTCTGATCTCTCAGACTCAGTCCCACGCTGTCTCCTCTCCCCCGCTCCCCCAACCCCCACCTTCGGGAATCCGACACGGAACTTAATTTGACCCAAAGAACGCAGCCGGGTTCTAATTGATGGAAAATTGCTCGCTCCTTGTCAGGTTATTGTTCATTTCCTGATCCTTAATGACTGATTTCCCACCAATCAGCCTGCGCTCCCGAGCCCGCTCGGCCACCGCACTGTCCCCTAGGCTGCACAGTCCCGTAGGGCGGGGTAGAGGCGAGGGTTTGGTGAAAACACCTTAGAGGACAGGTAGGTCGCCACCCGAAACTGTGCCTAGGAGTTGGGGTTGGGGATGGGGGAGTGTTAGGGAGGGAGGTGGAATCCCGGAATTAGAAGGACCAGATTACTGAGTGGACTCATGGCCAGCCCCCAGGCTGAATGTCCTCACCTTGCCCTCCCCCTTTTCCAGGCCATCTCTCCACACAACTGCAGGCTCTATTCATGCCATTACGGTAAGTTGATAAACCAACTCAAAGGTAAGACTTTTTCCTTTGCTTTAAAAGGGAGTGGGGGGAAGCTTTGCGTTTTTGACCGCTCCTGGGGACAATTCATTAAGGTATCAACTCCTTAATGAAACATTTCTTTGTTAAAATATTCACTGATCTGCAAGGAATAGTGCGTGTATAGGTGGGGGAGACTGCGGGGGAGGGGAAAGCATGGGCCCATTCCTCGCCCAGGGACCCTAATTTGCACTGAGCACAGATTCCTACTTCGTTTGTCTCTTACGGAGGGGAGGGAGGGAGGGAGCTACATAATGTGTCCATTTTGAATCCCTAAAATCCCTTGCACACAGTAGAAGATTAATAAATGTTTGTTGAATTGAATTAGATGGAAAGAAAAACCAGAGCCAAATGGAGAGGAGAGGTGGGAAGCAGATTGGCCATTTGGCTCAGCCCTCTAGCTCACAGAGGGCCTCAAATTTAGCAAGGATAGAACAAGAGCTATTAGATAAGGATGGTCTCACTATGCTTAATATCAACTATGACACTGCACAAAAGGTAGATTTCCTGCCATAATCAATTCATTTGTTAAAAACAAAACAAAACAAAAACAAAACTAAAAACTAAAAAATTCGAAGTATGTCTCACTAATTGGCTTCTCTATTTTAATTTCATGTATTTTAGAGAAATGATGAGGTCTAGTGGAAATAATGTGTGTAAGTTCCTCGAAGACAAAGACTTTTGTATTTTAAGACTTTTTTTTTTTTATATTTGTGTCCCCAGACCCAAGCATAGTGCCTGGCTTTGGGAAGGATATAATAAAGGCTTGTTGAAATGAATTGAACTGAATTGACCTAGTCTCAGAAATCTTGAGCAAAACCCTGCTTCTAACCCTTAATAGCTGTGTGACCCTGGACAAGTTACTTACCTTAAAATGGAAATCATAGACTTACAGCTGGAAGGGACCTTAGGTGTTTTAGAATCCAACCTCTTCATTTTACTGAAGAGTAAATTGATGTGCAGAGCAATTCAGTGACTTTCCCAGTTTCACAGAATAAGTGTCTGAAGCAGGGTTTGAACCCATGTCTTCCTAACTCCAAATTCAGTGTCTTATCTACCACGCCATGTTGCCTCTCAAGATGATAATTTTTACCCTGCCTATCTCGTAGGGTTGTTCTGATGAAAGTCTTTTATAAATATGATTTTCTATTTTAAAAATTATTCATTAAGGTATCAACTTAATAATAATAATAATAATAATATTTATTATTATGGCTAAGGCTTCAAATGCTGGAAGTTGCCCTAACTTCTTTGGTCCATTGCTTATACCTGATAAGATCTCAGAGTTGGGAAGGGAAAGAAGAGGGCATGAGTGAGGGTGGAAGAGGAGTCTTGGGCTGGGGAGGTGAGGGAAGAGGCATTGAAAGAAAAGAGGAAAAGTGGAAATCTAGAACTTGGAAAAAGCTTGAGCCAATACCAGCCCTAGAAGTGGTACTTAGGCAGGGCAGGGACCTATTGTTGTCCAACCAATGAAATCCAGAGTGAATTGGGTTTCAGGCTTGGTCTTTGAGAAAGAAATCTAGCCAGTAAACCTCAAGTTAGTAGATAGGTTTTGGCCATCAAAATTTACCTTCCTTTGGGCAGAACACCCTCAGGTAAGGGCATGATACCCCAGGAGAGAAGAGGAGAGGAGAGGACAAGCTGAGTTGCCCAAATGGAACTGACCAGCTGGATCCCCAATAGGGCAGCTTGGACTCCTTACAGGTTGTGGTTTGTCCTTCATTCTTGAAGAGGACCATGACATCAGGGAGATGATGTCATGACTTGCAACTGAATTTGATTGGAGGGAGGGAGAGCTGTGCAAAGTAACCAGCTTCATTTTCTCCTCCACAGCCATCTGGGTCCAGTGACCTGATATCGATCAGGACAACTGGAGAAGGCCTAGGATGCAGTGAGCACTTGGTGAGCCCTAGAAGGCATGAGCGGGGAGGAGGAGAAAAAAAAGTACTTACATGGAGGGAAAAGAAAACTAAGGTTCTAAGATAGAAGAAACCAAGGTTTTGAGTACACCATGAAGGGAAATATTCTGCCTTCTCCAGAAGGCCTCAATGAGCAATGGATCTCCTCCATACACCATGCCAAGATGAGTTTATTATGAAGGAGAATCCAAAAGATTAGATGAACCCTTCAGGGATTGTGTAGAAGGTATTACTGTTGGTATTGGATTAGATATTTGAAGTCTAATTCAGCTCTGAAGTCCTATGATCTTATTAACAAAAGAGACAGGGCAGTAATGCCTAGCCCTCATGGCTACCACCCTAGCCGTTTTTGTTTTTTTTTTGAGGTCATGAAATACAAGAGATTGAGAATAGTTTCCCTGTCTGGAATGGATAGCATCATAAGATTTGAGCATTGGAAGGGACATAAGGGATACTCTAGTCCAGCCATTTTACAAATTGACTAACTGAACCTCAGAGATGTAAAGTGACTTACCCAGGGGTTGACATTCTATTCACACAAAATCCTGAGAGAAACTCAAATAATCCCTCCCTTTTCCATGCCATAGATCTGAAGGGATTGATGACCACAATGTTAACAACAAACTAAGGAAATCAGCTTCTTCCATTAGGCTTTTTTTCCCATGCTAGGGAGATAGAAAAGCAGTTTGGGGAGGGGGGAGAAGAGATTGGTAATTCCCAAAGAATTATTTGGAAAGACTCATATTGAGACAACTAGAGGAGTTGGGGAGGACTGAAAAGGACAGAGAGGATACTCTGTGCAGATCCCAGAGGCCGTTGGAAGAGAATGAAGAACAAATTAAATGAAGCTGGAAAGTTCTATTCTGAACTTTCCCTCTCATCCTTTCACCAGGGAGAAAATATTTTGGGTCATTTGCTTTGATTTGGTTGGATTTGTTTTGTAAATTATCCCCCTCCCCTTCCCCCCCCCCCATGGTTTTTTGTTTGTTTGTTTTGGCTTTGTTTTTTTTTGTTTGTTTGTTTTTTGTTTGTTTTTTAATCAGTGAGTTCCTTGCATTTAGGGTCCTTGTTTTATGGTTCCCTTATATATCTCCTAGTGCCCAGTAAGGGACTTTGCACATAGTAGGCATTCAATAAATACTTGCTGACAGATTGATTGAAATGAAAAAGAAATCTTTCTAGGAGAAATCCCGATGGGAAGGACAAAGGAAGGACAGGTATTGGAGAGAAAAAAGTCAGCAAAGAACCAATGAATCATATAAGGTCACAGGATCATAGAACATCCCCAAATCAACACAAGTAAGTATCAGAGGTGGAATTTGAAGCTGGGTTCTCTGACTTCGGGGAAGGGACCTTTGAGGTCTTCTAGTCCAACCTCCCTCCAAACAGGGAACTCTCTTCTCTAGCATCTCAAATGATTGAAACGTAGAATTTCAGGAATATGAGGGACCTTTGAGATCACTTAGTCCACTCCCTTCCTTCTGAAGGTGAGAAAAGGAGGTCTAGAGAGGACACATAACTTGCCCAAGGTCATCTAGAAGATTATTGGCAACTCCACCCTCCATATTCCCAACTCACAATCATGAAATCACAAAATATCAAGAATCGGGAGTTCAAAGGTCATCTATTTACTCACCAACCTCTAACTGAATAAGAATCCTTTCTGTAATACCCTTGAGAAGGGGTTATCTAGTCCCCATGTGAAGACCTCTGAGGTCTTCAAAGCCACTTACCTTCTGAGGAAGATAAGAACCAGAGCATAACTATTGAGCTAGATGACCTTTTTCTTCCCATTTTCTCCCCAATGAACTAGTATTTATTTTCTTCCACACCCCCAATTTAAAATAAAAAAAGAAAACCTTTCTAGCAAATACAAGTAGTCAAGTAAAACAAATTTCCACGTTGTCCATGCCCAAAAAACTGTGTCTCATTCTGCATGTTGCCAGCTGATTTTATTTAAAAAAAGAAAAAGGTATAACTCATTGGCCTGGCCTAAAGGCTGTGACCACAGAGCCAAAGATATTCCATCACTAGCTTTATTCTGAAGGCAAATTAAGTCTCTTTAGTGACTTAGTATTGGGTTAGAACTTACTTGATGGGACCAGTCTGAGCACGAGCCAAAACCCTTTGTAGCCGATAATATCCTTTTCTTCTTCACCCTCTCCAGGTGACTCCTGAGCCAGAAATGTTCACTAAGGAGAAGCCTGTAAACTCCTTTCTTGATTCCACTGGGAAAGAACTAAATAAAATAGAAATTTGACACAATGTCCTCCTCCTGTGCACCCCTCAAGATCTCAGGCAATTCAGTGAACTTTGAAGATGTTCTTCATGCTTCCGATTAGCTTTTGAGGACTCAAGGCCAAACTTTGCAACCTTAAAGGTCAATTTAAGGCAGTTATTAGAAAAGTGCAGATATTGCTAGCATCACCATCCTGTTCCTTCTGAGCCAGAGAGGGCAGGCTATGTTGGAACAGCATTAATTACTCCTAAGCCTTGTACTTTCCCCTTCTTCTGCATCCATCTAAAAGCCCCTTTTATCCAGGAGGAGCTAATCTAGACCTGATCTCAGCCTTAAACAAACACTTGCATTAATTATAACAATAGTTAGCAATTATATAGTGTTTTACAAATATCCTTTCATTTGATCTTTGTAACAATTTGGGAGGTGGGTGCTATTATCATCCCTTTTTTGTTTGTTTCAGTCATGTTTAACTCTTCGTGACCCCATTTAAGGTTTTCTTGGCAGAGATACTGGAGTGGTTTGCCATTTCCTTCTCCAGCTCATTTGACAAGTGAGAAAACAGAGGCAAACAGGGTTAAGAGACTTGCCCAGGGTCACACAGCTAGTAAGTGTCTGAGGCCAGATGAGTCTCCCTGACTGCAGGCCAGCACTTTGTCCACTGAGAAACTGAGGCAGAGAAAGGTTAAATGATTTGTCCAGGTCACAAAACTACAAGTGCCTGAGGTTAGATATGAACTCAGGTCTTCCTCACTCCAGTTGATGACTGAACAACTTCCTGACTCCAGACCCAGGGCTCTGTCCACTGCCCTACCTAGCTGCTTTAAAAGAATCACCATGTACTTTGCTGCCCTTGTCAGATGACAACTGGAGTGTTATTGCATTCAGTTCTGGGCACTACAATTTAGGAAGAACGTTGATAAGATGGGGATCATCTGGAGGAAAGGCAACCAGGATGAGGAAGCACCTTGAGATCATGATGTATAAGGATTAACGAAAGGAACTTTCATTGGTTTAGTCAGAAAAAAGAGAACACGTGTTGTATAACACACACATATACATGTGTATCTATATGTATATAAGTTACTTTATAGGTGTAGTTATGTACATGTGTTCGCATGTGTTTATATAAACACACATGTCATGTATGTATTTATTTGCAGGGCAGGCAAACCACCATTCCATGACTAGCTTCAAGTATTTGAAGAGCTGTCAATGGTGAGAGGGACAGGATTCTTTCTGCTTGGCCCCAGAAAGCAGAACAAGGATCTATGGGTGGAAGCTGCAGAGAGGCAGATTCAGGCTACTCCATAAAAGGACACTTGTTTTCTCACAATTAAAGCCATCCAAAGTCCAATGGGCTGACTGACTCTCAACAGAGCTCTTCAAACCCAGGCTGGGTATTGTAGAGAGGATTCTCAGCCAGGTACAGGATTAACTTGATGGCCCAAGATCCCTTCTGACTTTTAAACATGTGTGACTTCCCTGCCTAGCCTGATCTGGACCAGGTCATCACCTCATGTCCCAATCCTGGGTCCATCTGGCTTATTTGAACTGGAATGTGAGCTCCCCAAGGGAATGCCTACAGCTTAGTCTGCCTGGTTGTTGGCACTTGGCTCCCTATTGCAGTGTTCCTAGTGGCTGTCTAAACTATGGACATAGGGCCTTGGAATTCCTTAGCAATAATAATAGCTCACATTTATGTAGACTTCTAGATGGACACACTGCTCTCCACCAAACCAAGTACATTGTCATTCTTAATTTATAGGGAATGAAAGAAAGGCTCAGGAAGATCCAGCAACTTGCCCAGACTCAAACACTAGTAAATAACAGAACTAAGTCTCAAATCTGCATCAATGACGTCTCAGGGGAAAGAAGCAGTATATTATAGTGGGAAGCCCAAAGATTTGAGGCCAGGACACCTTGGTTCTAATACCTTTTATTCCACTCTACCATTTGTGTGACCTTGAGCAAGTCACATTGGCCTTAGTTTCCTATTCTGTGAAGGGAGAGAGAAGTACTACATTATCTCTAAGGTCCCTTCCATGCAATCGACATGCGTTGATTAATTGCCTACTATGCCTAGCTAGGTGGTATAGGGCAGCTTAGTGGCATAGTGGACAGAGTGCCAGGACTGGAGTCAAGAAGTCCTCTTCCTGAGTTTAAATCCAACCTCAGACACATACTGTGTGACCCTGGGCAAGTCACTTAATCCTGTTTGCCTCATCTGTAAAATGAGCTGGAGAAGGAAATGGCAAACCACTCCTGTATCTCTGCCAAAAAAATACCAAATAGGGTCACAAAGAATCGGACACTACTGAATAACAACAGCTATGTGCCAGGCACTGTGCTGAGGCTCTGGGGACACACACACATATATACACACACATACACAGTGCCTCAAAGAGTTTACATTCTTTAGAAGAATACATGTTGAACATATATAAGTATACAGATAAAATATTATATATATACAGACAATTATACATATACATATATATGTATACACACACATTTACCAGACTTGTGATTACATCTGTGTAGAGAGCTTCAAGTAAGCAGTTTCATCTAATCTAACAATGCAGGCTGGCACCTGCTTTCCAACCTATAGTCTTTGAAAGGTGATCTGGGCTAGGGGGAGTTAAATGACTTCCCCAGAGCCTGTAGGCTCTACTGTTTGTTATGCTGACTCTTATACAAAATACACATAAAATACATATGTTAAAGGAAGGGGAGATATTAGCCGCTGGGACAATCAGGAATGGTGGTGCTTGAGCTGTGAAGGAAACTAGAAATTCTAAGATGTGGAATGAGAAGACAGTACATTCCAGACATGAGGGACAGCTGATGCAAAAGTGAGGCGACAGGAGATTGGAGTGCCGTGTTAGAAAGAGAAAAATGGTCCAATGTAACTGGATTGATCATTTATGCGAAAAAGTAAAGGACTGCTCCCTCCCTCAACCCTACCTCCCCTCCCCTTTCCGTCCGCCACCTCCAATCTACCAGAAGAATTTCAATTCCAACCCTGACCTTCTTTCCGGGTCCGAATGGGGTGTTTCCCCTCCCTTCCCCACATACAACCAGACAGTTCAACTGAGTTTTTTTCAGCACCTATACACAGAAATAGTTCTCCCCAGCTCCCACCCTAACCTCCCCCCCACCTCGCCCCCGGCTGTTCTAAAAGCAAATTAACTGGGTAATTTCCTGTAGTTCTCACTTCTCTTTAATCGGGTAGAACTATCCACTGACCGGTTCCCCTGTGTATTTCAAAGCTGGTTACCCAAACTCCTCTCCAAGAAAACGCCCTGAAATGCAGCAGCCTCTGAGCTGTAGCTTCGGAGCGCGCCTGGAGAGATCGCGAAGTCAGTGGTGTCGGGGTTTAGGGCGTCTTAACCACACGGAAGCTCACTCCACACCTCCCATTCCCGACCCCCACCTTTTGGATCTAATGGGGCTGGGAGGGGGGTTGCTTAGAGGCTGGGGGCTGCGCTGGACAGCCGCTCGAGCTCTAAGGCGAATACGATGGCCAATCAGCAGTGAACTAAGGGAGGCTGAGTTAGAACATGCACCCCGAGGTTAGCTTGAGGTGGTAGGCAGTCGCGGGGGGGGGGCGCAGAGGGGGGGAGAGTATAGAGCCCAAAAAAGAATCGGAGTAGAAAGAGGCTGTGCCAAAGTATCCCACGTTCTCCTTCTGGTCCAAGAATCTTCCAGACCCGTACCCCAAGTTCTCCTCCCTCTCTCTCGGCTTTCCATTCTCCCTCCCCAAAAACCTTTGCTCTCCAGTCTTTCCTCTCCCGCGGCTATTTCAGTAGGAGTGAAAGCGGCTGCACCTGTTTTAGATGAATTATGGTAGCGCTGGAAGTTAGTCTCCCCCCTTCTTCCCTCCCTCCCAGCCTGTCTCCCTCCCTTTCTCCCTCTCTCCCTCCCTGGTTTGCTCCCTCCCTCCCCCCTCCCTCCTCCCTCCTCCTCCTCCTCCTCCTCCTCCTCCTCCACCTCCTCCACCTCCTCCACCTCCTCCACCTCCTGCCCCCGCCCCCTCCCTCTCGCAGTCACTCACTCGCAGCCCCTAGCCCGGAGTCCCGAGCCGCCTGCCCCTCTGCACTGGACAGCGCCGCCGGACGGCCCAGGACGGAGCCCCCCCCTCCCGCTCCGAGCCCCGGGAGGGCGCGGCGGAGGCGGCAGCGGAGGCGGGGAGGAGCCGGGGCCGGAACAAGGGCTGGGCCGGGGGCGGGGACGCCGGGGTCCGGAGGAGCCGAGAGGAGCGGAGGACGCGAGAAGGAGAAGAGGCGAGCGAGCGGAGCAGGGAGCAAGGAGCCGGAGCTCAAGCCCAAACCCGATCCCGAGCAGGAGCCGCCCCTCACAGTGCGATGCCCCAGAGGGGTTAGGGCGCCGGGCGCCTGAGCCTAGAGCCAAGAGGGGCTGCCCCGGGGGGAGGGGGAAGCGGCGGAGCCGGAGCCGGAGCCGGAGCCAGAGCAGGAGCAGGAGCAGGAGGCAGCGGCGGCAGGGCCGGGGCAGCGGCCGAAGCGAGAGCCCCATGCCCCGGGCGGGCTGAGGGATCCGAAACCCAGAGTGGAGCCTCGGCCCGGACAGGTACTTGCTGGGGCCCGGGTGGGGGGCAGGAGGTGGGGCGGTGGGGGCCGCGGGGTCCGGGGGGCGGAGTGGGCAGGGAGCAAGAAGCTCGCGCTCGCTCGCTCGCTCACTCACCACTCACTTTGTGTTTGCAAACTGCCGGGAGACGGAACTGGGCCGGGCTTCGTGCTGACTTTTTTTTTTTAATCTTGAGATGGGGTGCTTTGCTGGGCAATGACCACACTGCGCAGAGACCGGCATCCCCTTATCCTAGCACCCCCTTTCCTGCCGCTCCCCCCCCAGACCGAGCCTAGTCCTAGCGTTGTAGAGGGAACAGGTGGGGGCAGCCGGTCAGTGGGGGCGGGGAACCATTGGAGTAGCAACCCCCCATCCCGGGAAAGAGGCTAATTATCCCGCCCCCACCCCATCTCCACCCTGGTAGATCCCCCCCTTAACACCCCCACCACCACCAGGATGCCAAGGCATCAGCCCCGCCTCCTCCAGGGCTGGGTTAGTGGAGTGGGGGGGTGGGAAGCGGACCCCCCTGGAGCCGGGAGTCAGACAAAGACAACTTCCCGGCTGAGACTTTGCTGGACTGAAGGGAGAGTGAAATACAGGGGCCTATTCCGTCCTCCCCCTCCTCCCTAGCCCCCCACCCCACCCGGTCTGTGCCGGACTCTCCCTATAGGGCAGAGCTGTGATGTGGGGTTTGTAATGCAACCTCCAGCCAGGAGCCGCTCAAGTTTCTTTAAGAAAGGGATCTGGTCTTACTAAGTCCAAAACTCAGGAAAAATGGATTCCCATGCATCTATGGATAGTGTACGGTCTTAAGTCGTTCCTCCACCCCCACCCTGTACTCTGAATCAATCTCCTAGTTGGGGCAGAGATGGAAAGGAAAAACTTCCCAAAGACCTGGGAGTCTCCAGTTAGGGAGGTCCCTCTGATGGGTTTGAAGGGAGGGACTGAGCTGTCCAACTGATCCTCTGGCTCCAAACGCCCTTATCCATGATGCCCCCTTACCAGGTTGGTGGAGAGAGGCAAGGGGGGCTTTGCCGGGAGCTAGACCAACGGGGACAGTTGCCAGACCGGAATCCTAGCAGGGAGGAGTATTATGGTGTGTGTGTGGGGGGGGAGAACAAGACAGCCCCCCCCCACCTACCTGTTGCCTTGGGCTACAGCCTCCTGCCTCTCGATTCCAAGTAGTGCCCTCCACTATGAAGTCTTCACGTCTCTTATCCTGTCTCCCTTAAGCCCTATGTCAGAGAAACTAACAGCAAACTTAGGCTTCGCCAGGTCCCGGACTGGGGTGTGAGGATGTTGGGCGTTTGAGAGCGTCCATCCGGGGTCAGGTACCTAACCTACCTAACAAGTGTCTAACAATTCCCCTTCTTCCTATTTCTCAGTCCTCTCTGTACCTCGACCTCTTCCCCGACCCCCGAAAGTTTGTCATTTCGTCCGAAGCGGATTCTGAGCTTCGGGGATGCTCCATCTTCCCATTCCTCTCGTGTGAAGATGAGAGGACCCCCCTGGGACATTGTGAGAGTGAGTGAAATGGGAGGGGGGATGAGGCAGAGAGGGCAAAATGGTGACACCCTCCCCAGCATCTGACCAAAGAAACCCCCTTTCCCCTCCCAGCTCTTTCTCATCTTTTCCCCACCTACATATGACCCCCTTGTCCCCCATTTTCAAACCCATGTCGCCATCGAAAATACTGCGATGTAACCGGGTGCTATCGAAGTGGCTGCCTGCCAGTCCAGCAGCCATAGCTGAACCCGACGAATTTCCCTAACAACTTTCCGCATCTAGAGAGGGGGACCAACTGAGGGGACCCAGTATGGAATGATGGGAAAATAAAGGGAAGAAAAAGGATGAGAGACATCAGGTCTTTCCCCCCTCCCCCCCCCACCCCAGTTGAAGAAGGAGAGAACTGAGATTACTATCCAGAGAGGATTCGAGAAAAATGCTCTTTTGGCCAATGCGGGTTTTTGCCTTATTTAAGGATCATCCTCCAAGTTTTTGATTCCTTCGGTCTGACCAGGCCGATTTTTTTTTTCACCCCGACAAATAAATAAATAAACAAATACATTCCATCTGGGGACAGGCTAAGGCTCCTTTAGCCTGGAGGTGAATCCTTTCCTAGCATTTGTATTTCTGAACCTTCGGAGGAAGACTGAAGTCAGGAATGCTCCTAGCTAGTCCCAAGAGTCAGACTCGGAAACACCACTTTGGGCCACAGCGGCAGGAGCTTTATTTTTATAGAGAAGAGGACTGGGAGTTTCGACCCGGTTCCTCCAGCCAAAGCCAAACCCAGAAAATTGAAACAATTACTCGGGATATTAAGTCACCCGAAGTTCACTTTCATCCTGGGGATTCCGAAGAAATTGTTCCCCATGACCCTGCAGCTCTGCTGGGAGCCCTGGGGCCATACTGAGTCTACACATATTGACTTCTCTGGACTGCAGTGGGGATATCAGAACTTCAGGGGAAGCGCCTGTTAAGTCTTCCAGCTCCAGCTCTTTTCTTGGGTCTCTCTAACTTTCTTCTCCTGCTTGGGGTCAAGCGCCACCCAAAGGCCCGGGATGCAGCGAGTATGGGCAGGCCGAGGTATTGGGATGTGGCTATTCTCGGAGGTTGCAGAAGCCTACTCACCCTGGGTCTTGGCGGAATGTCAGCGCCTACTTCAGCACCCGATGGCCCGCATCTCAACCGTCCTGGCTTTTTGTCCCACAAATACTGCAGGTCTTCTCCTACTCCCTCCACAGAAGGAAGCTGTTTTGAGAGGATGTGAAGGTTTTCGTTGTTTTTAAGTTGAAAAACAAAGTTTTGAAATTTTGCTGCTGCAGGCCAAGAGAATCTTTTGTCACCTTTCAAGAGACACCCCCAGACGCAGAAGGAAGTAAACTCGTTCCCTTGGCAGCTTTTTCTCCTGCGCTGCCTCAGTCCCTTTCTCCCCTCAGTTTCTTGAAAATCTGTCTCTGGATCTCTGTCTTTTTCATCTTCGAACTCACACTCCAGCCCACTGTGGGTCTCGGGTCAGGATGACAATGCAGGTATCTTATTGTTTCCCCTACACACGCTTTCAACCCTCCCCCCATCTTCAAATATATGCACTTTTAGGATTCGGAAAGAAGAGCTTAGTTCAGGAGAGTTCCGCCTTGACAAGTCCCTGCTCCCGTCTTCCTCATGCCCCACCCCACCAGCACTCATTGCCAACCCCCCCCCCCCCAAGTTCCTCCACTGCCTTGAGAAGGGGATGGAGGGGCGGGTGGGAGCGGGGGGGGGGGGCACCTTAGGGAAAAGAGAACAGATAGCACCTTCTTTCCTGGCGTCGACCCCAGGGATTTTTTTTTTAACCAAACGTTTTTTTTTAACTTTTTTTTTTTCAAACGTCCCAGATGTTTATCTCGGGAGCTGAAGGACTGGGGAACCCTTGAGCCCTGCAGGCTGAGAGAGCCTGGCATTGGGAAGGGGAAACGCCCATGGGCGGGAGCCAACTTGCATCCGGGCTGCCTTGCCTCTACTCCCCAACAACCCCCTGCAAAGTTAAAATGGAGCTGGTCATGTCAGTCCTTTCTCCTTCATCCCACCCGCAAAACATTTCAATTCCCCCACGGGTCTCAGGACATTACTGGCCTAGGCTTAAAGAAGTAAGGGCCTTGCTTCAGGTCATACCTGGTGAAGTGTGCACAGTGGAAGAGTAGTCCTTTCACCCTAATACCAACCCCCCCCAAAAAAAGTCCTCTAGGCCGGAGCTGCTTTTGATCCAGAAAGCTCCTCTATGGACTTATGTGAAGCTTCTACCTTATGACTGAGGAGTATGGCAAAATGTATAGGGTATTCTTTTTGTTCAGTGCCAATCCCTATTCGTCTTCTGTTAGGTCCATCGTATTCACTATCTACCCTTAAAAATCTGTAAGCTTGGATGAGAGAGATTTGGGTTGGAGAGGAGGTGAGGTGTTCAAGATTCAGCTCTTCCAAGAGGCCTTCCCAGACTGACTTCACCCTACACATTCCACTTAGGTAAAAGCTCTAATCCTATTTTGGAATTGTGTATGAGTGGAAAGAGCCTGCTGAAATGGGAGCTGTAGGACATTAGTTCGGATCCTGCCTCTCCCATTTATTGCCTGTGTGATCATGAGCAAGCCCCGTTAGGTGGGGGGTGGGGTGAGGCATGGAGTCTACTAGCATCTGACACAATGCTTGACACATAGTAGGTGCTTAATAAATGCTTGCTAATTCATTGATTACAAAGTTCTTTCCAGCTCAGAATCTATTATGATCCTGTGAATTGTTACTCCGATATTTCATTTGTGTGCCTTCTCTCTCTGTCTCTGTCTCTGCCTCTCTTTGTCTCTGTCTCTCTATCTGCCTCTCTCTGTCTCTGTCTCTGTCTCTCTCTCTCTCCACCCCATATTATAAACTCCTACATGGAAAGTACCCTGTCTGTGATGCTCTATCGAGCTGGGCACCAAAGCAGACTTCCAGTCCCAGCTGTGACACTAACTGAATGTGTAACCTTGGGCAAATCAGTTGATCTTTCTGGCCCAGGTTTCTGTACCTGTAGAATACGGACATTCGACAAGATGGCATCCAATATCCCTCCCAGCTCGAATATTTTTGCTTCTGAGTTGTAACATTCTATTTTCTGAGATCCCTTAAATCAGATATTCTACCAACTTTGTTCTAATATTCTGTGTTTCAGGGTTCCCCCCCCACCTCTTCTCCCCTTCAGCTTGACATTCAGTGGTTCTGTGATTCTTCTACACCTCTCATAACCTCTGCAGATTATTATCTAACAGCACATTCTAGGCACATAGCTTCATAAATATAAGTTAAATTCAGGTGGATGAGAGCTACAGTAGGAGTCCAGTTGGTCTAAGACCTTCAGGGCAGGAGGTGACCATGGAAAGAGGAGAAAACAAGGGCTAGTGAGACTTCTGGACACATAAAATTGTGACTATAAGGACTCAAGCTCTTTGTGAGTAGATGAATGGAAGGTGTGTATAGGAGGGATTAGTTAA